TTTTTAGCTATTGCGCAGCCAAAAATGGCCCAATTGAGGAGTGTAATACCTCGTACGGCTCGTTCTTTGATTGCCATGATTCCCAATTGATTTGCATTCAAATCTGGAAAACTTCATTTTTGGGCATTTTTTGAAAATTTTGATGATGGTACCCCTTATCAAAAATGCGAAATTTGGGCCCAAATTGACTTTCCCAAAATCGAAAATCGAGTGATAGGGGAGGTAAGTGCTGGTCGTTAGCAGCACGAAACAGTCGTTCTTTTGGCTGTGCGTCTATTTTTAGCCGAGCTAGAGCTAAAAACCCGAAAATAATGTTGCAAATTTCTGTCAGAAATAGGTTCTTGATTTTTAGCTATTAAACCAGAGCTCGCACAACAAAAGCAGAGCAAAAATGAGAAAAGCAAGTATAGGGGCTTTAAGTTTCGGTTGTTAGCTGCATAAAACAGTCATTGCTTTAGCCATGCGTCTCGTTTTGACAAAGTTATAGCAAAGAAACGGCAACAAGACCAGGATCTCTGCTGCCAAGGGACGTATACTTGATTTTAAGCGCAAAAAAATCAGTTTTTTAGCTATTGCGCAGCCAAAAATGGCCCAATTGAGGAGTGTAATACCTCGTACGGCTCGTTCTTTGATTGCCATGATTCCCAATTGATTTGCATTCAAATCTGGAAAACTTCATTTTTGGGCATTTTTTGAAAATTTTGATGATGGTACCCCTTATCAAAAATGCGAAATTTGGGCCCAAATTGACTTTCCCAAAATCGAAAATCGAGTGATAGGGGAGGTAAGTGCTGGTCGTTAGCAGCACAAAACAGTCGTTCTTTTGGCTGTGCGTCTATTTTTAGCCGAGCTAGAGCTAAAAACCCGAAAATAAAGTTGCAAATTTCTGTCAGAAATAGGTTCTTGATTTTTAGCTATTAAACCAGAGCTCGCACATCAAAAGCAGAGCAAAAATGAGAAAAACAAATATAGGGACTTTAAGTTTCGGTTGTTAGCTGCATAAAACAGTCATTGCTTTAGCCATGCGTCTCGTTTTGACAAAGTTAGAGCTAAGAAACGGCAACAAGACCAGGATCTCTGCTGCAAAGCGACGTATACTTATTTTTTTTTTATAAAAAAAAATTTTTTTTTTTTTTTATATTTTTTTTTTTTTTTTTATTAATAAAAATAAAAGTTTTAGAAAGGGGAAACCATTAATCAATTATTTATAAAAAAAATATATTTTCATATAATGACATTGAGCGGTGTATATATATTTTTTCATAGATTGCTTTCCATTATCCATCGATTGCTTAAAGTAAAAGCTTTTTGACCGATTTAGCTTGGGAAAGGAATTCGTAGAACCTTTTTATTTTAAACCCAAAACCAAGAGCCGAATTTATTTTATGGTAGATCCAATATGGCAGCAGTCAATCAATCGAATTTTCGCCTTTTTATGTAACAGGCGATTATCCCAAATGGTAATATGCTTCAGTTGACTCTTTGATTGGCTTCGTTATGAATGCCCTGACCTTCTTGCTGGCCTTTTCTCTAATGTTTTCGGTGAGCCTAATGTTCGTTGAAATGCACAGAGAGAAAGAGCTAGCTTTTAACTTTGAGAAATGTGTACTAAAAAGAGAAGTAAAAATGTTTTTTTAAAAAACTTTTTTTAATTTGTAAGTACTAAGAGACTTTAAGCAGAAAGTTAGCTCGAAGGACACTTAATATGTCTTGACAAACAAGCCCACATAAGAAACTCAGGTATGTACATGTCCTGCCATCAATTGGACTTTAAAGTCGCCTTCGATTGTTATTCACACCCACTGGAAAGTCAGCTCCTTGTTTAGTACATATGTGTATATGTCATAACTTGTATCTGTCGCTGACTTGGCCACCGACTTGCCCGCCGTCTCTTGTCTGCCTTTTCATAGTCTATTCATCAATGAACAATGCTCTGTGAAAATAATGGTGGAGCAATAAAAATAAACAATAACATTTGACAGGCGGCAGGCAATGCCATAAAGAACATTTTCCAATGCGCACTCAACGTCCTGAAACGTTTGTGTCCTTTTCAAAATTGAATTGCATTTGCCATATATGCATTTTGCATTAGCTTTGAGTTGCACTTTTATTCTGCCCAGATAGATAGGTAGATGCACGGCAGAAGTCGCTCTCTCTAGAAACATGAGAGTTGTTCTACTTTGGCCCCCATCTCGTATGCGTAATATCCGGTACGTAATTAAATGCCGATTCAATGCTCCAGTGAGCCACCTGATTCTTTTCAACCCGATATTTTCCCCTATCTCCCTGCCAAATGACATCGCCAGTTAATTTGCAACCACTCAGCTGGAAAGTCCCAAGCCAGCTTAGTCCCTGAGTCCTCAGTCTTTAGTCCTGGCATTCAACACTCAGAGTCAGCCAAAGCAGTTGGACATTGAAATATTTGGTTAGAATTCGACACAGAACAGAGAGATTACTTACTAGTTTTAGTTGCTTAAAGAATTTTCCATACCTAAGATTACATTCGTGCTTTTAGGAACTTTACTCATACAAATTAGTTTCCTATTTTTGGGGTAACAGCAATTCGAATCACTCAGAAAATATTCTGATCGAAGGCCAACTGATGGTTCATCTAGTGTAGATACGCCAAAGGGATAACCGACCCACAAAAAGGAGGTGGGGGTGGGGGCAAGGATTAGGCATAACCCGGCACAAAGTAAAACTGTAGCACACTTTTGCGCGCTCCATTTCCCGTTAAATACAGCATGGCTTTTAAGGGGGTGGTGGGGGCGGTTGAAAGGTGGCGTGGAGTGGCAGAGTGTGAACACATGGAGGCTCTATGAATGCCAAAGGAACCAAAGGAGCTACCTCCATAGAAGGTGTGTGTGTGTGCGGCTCACATAGAAAGGCCTTCGGGGCACAATAAAAAACCCAAACTGAGAAGCCTGTAAGTAAGGGAGGGGGGTGGAGTGTGCCATAAAGCCCATAAAATGTATAAACACAATTTTCACTTTAACTGCGTCTTTTGCCAGCCTTTCACTTTGCCCAGAACTCAGACCCCAGAACTCAGAACCCAGAACCCAGAGCCCAGGACGAAGGCCGAAGGACCTTCCCTTTTATAAGGCTTTAGTCTCCTACGCTTGACAATTTCATTCGGCTAAGCGCAATTTGCATATGTGCGTGAGTGGGTGTGCTTAAGGAATCAACTGCCAGAGTCCCCCGGACCCAAGGGATCCTTTCGATTTGTCGCCGCTACACCCATACCCCATACACCCACCTGTCCCTGTCTGTCATCCCGTTCATTTGAGCCGTCACCTGGTGCGTACGTAATCCTTCTATTACCCCATTGCGATTAGAACGCGATGCCGGATAAGTAAGAAAGCTAAAGGTGCGATTTGCCTTTTTTCTTTGCATAAAATATGATTTAAAGAAGTTGTAAGATATCATTTTTGAGCATATTGTATGGGAAACTGATTGATTTCAACAGGAAACAAAGTTTTTGAGATTTTAGGTTGATTACCAAAACACTTTTAAGACCCATCATCTTAAAGCTATCAGAGATATTCTGAGATATCTGATTTTAGATTTCGAAGAGCCTTTTGTTCTTCACACCTATTGTTTAGCCGTGGAATACAGCCAGTAATTGAATCTGATTGACTTCCCAAGCAGTAATTCGAAAATTATCTTTGGTAATTGGTCTATTTCATTAAAATAGTGCTTAAGGGGTGAAATGTGTGTGTGGGTGTGGTTGTGTGTGTATGATAGTGTATTGGCAGCGTACCGAATCGAAGACAATAGCGTTCCTTCTCAAGTAACTGAAAACTGCAAATCAATCCCCCATCGTTATCCATTTGGCATCGAAGCTCATTGCTCATGGCTGGTGGCTCATGGCTTACTGATGGAAGGGCGGAGCTATGCAGCTCATACAATCAGCTTAACTCGACTCCCAGCCCCTGGAGAGCGTTTGATTAACTGTCATAACTTGGTGGCAGTCCTTCCAACACTAGTCACAAAGAAGGTTGTACTTTCCGATAAAGAATGTGAGATACCTCTTAATACTCCTTTAAATATTCAGTTAACCTTCTCTTAAACTCCTTAATTAAGATCAAATTTAAGTCTTTTAAATATATTTTTATTAAAAACTCCCTCCCTGCAGCAGCTCTGCCGAATCTAGCCTAACCCTCTTTAGTAATGGGTATGGGACTATGCTTTCTGTCCCTGATCCAAGCTCCCTTGTTTGCATAGACGAAGTGCCAATGCAGATTAGGTGCTTCGGTATGTTAGTGAGTAGTTGTGTATGTGTGTGTGTGTGGGTGTCCCAGGACTAAAGTCAACCATGAATATAGTTCAGTTTTCTCTTTTTGCTGCATCGAGCATGTAGTAGTGGCAGAAGCAGTGGTGCCGTCAGTTAACTTCCTCACAGGGGCTCTAATCCTTAAAAAACAAAAGCCAATTACTGATTAAATAGGCAAACCCCTCTTCCTTTGTTCGCAAGTTAAACCTTTTGTTAAGTACTTAACTTGCTCAATTGAAGGGCCAAAATGCTTAGCTTTTATTGTTCAAGCTGTCTATCTAAACTTGGTCAGCCATTGTTAACTCAATTAGATAAGTTAATTCTCCTTTTTTTTTATCAATTAAACTTGGTATTTGTAGTAAGAAGGTAATTAAGTCTATAGAAAGCAGATTAACTAACTTTATCAGGTTTTTTATTTAAGAAATCCAAAGATATTTTCCCGCAGACACCCATGGCTTTTCCTTGCATACACAAACAAGAGTTTTCCTTCACAACATGCATGTATTTTTCCCCCTTTTAGACCAAAAAGCAACAGTTTGTTAGCCTTCACCTCGACGACACCACGTTGCGTATGCGTTATGGCATTGCTAATGATTGCCTGCATAACCACCACCAGGTTATAACCCAATCGTATGGATGTGAGAGGATTGCGGGGGCTTTAATTCGATTGGAATGGAATCGTATTGGAATTTCAAGAGCTATGGCCTGGATCCAGACCTGTACTTACCCGTACTTTGCGCACCGTCTTGCGGCTGTCGTTGCGTATATTAACGGTCACATTGACGTCCTCGCCGTGGGTATACCAACCCTTGTCCAAGCTGGCTCTCAATCCAACACGACCGTCGTGCAGCAGGAAGGGCTTGTCCACGGAGCCCTGAGGACCGCCACAAGGACCAACACTGACGCCCCCAATTCCGCCGGAGACCCCGGCGCCAGTGTGCGGCGGCAACATGCTGTCACAGTGCTGAAATTTGATACGGCAAATGAATTTTAACCGAAAATGTTTTCCATTACGTTTGGAACTCACCTCCTGGAAGGACTTGCTGTAGCTGTGGAACGGATCATTGGGACACTTCTCGATCTCGCTCTTGCTGCGTCCGAAGCGACCGCTGAACCGAAAGGACTTTGGCGACAGACGGAGCTTGGGGAAAGAGTCGCCACGCTCGGACTTGGACTTGTGCTTGGAACCGCTTGATGGCTGCGATTGCGAGTGTGGAGGGGCGCTCTGCTGCTGCTGCTGCTGTTCGCCTCCTTCCCCACCTGAGGGGGGCGTGGCACTGGCCGGAGGCGATTGGGCGCTATGCTGACGACCGGCGTAGGCGGCAAACTGCTCGGGAGCCAAATGCTGATGAAACACATCCGTGCGATAGATGACCCTTACGCCCATCTTTACGGATGCCCGACGATGGAATTTCTCATCCGTTTTATCCGCTGCAGGATCAGTTGGAGGAGCAGGAAGAGGAACGATAACGGGAAAACACAAGAACGAAGAAGGATAATACGAATGATTAGTAAGTGGGTTAAGACAGAGACTAACTTTGTTTGCCGCTGCCGTTGCCGCCGCCGACGCTTGCTTAGAATATCAATTGGTTCAAGGAATATCCTTTAAGTTTAAGGAATATCCTTTAATTTTGAGGGTAGTCTTAAATTTTGTTTGGTCTCAGTCCTGAGTCCGTCGATCGTCCGAATGGCAAGTGATATAATGAGTTTTTTTTATATTTTTGATTTTATTTGCATTACCAAAGGCAGGCTGGCGGCCACTTGGACGGATGGCAAACACACTGAACATGAAACAAATGAAGTTGGAGCACACAGAAATGGCAGGGAAAGTTAAAGGCAGTGACGGTGAAAGTAATGGTAATGGATAGAATGGAAAGTATGGAAAGATGCAAGTCGTAGGCAGGATAGACGGAGGGAGGAGTACTAACAGATGAGCAAATAGAGATCGATCACAACAACGGTAAGGAGTTAGGATGGTGGAAGCGACGAGACATTGGCCAGTGTTGGGAATGTCACTACATTCGAGTTCTTTTCTAACACCAATATTTGTACGATTTTTCGATAGATCAAACATCGATTATAGTTGTCAGTTTTCTTAGCCTTAGGCATTCACCAACACTGACTGGGACAAATACAAAAACAGAGAGCAAGAGAGAGAAAGAGAGAGATAGACAAAAGAGAGAAAGAGCAAGCAAACAACACCAAGAAACTTTTTAACAACAAAAAAAGACGAAAAAGAATCGGTAACTGTAAACGGTAAACTGAAAAACAGAAACGAAAAATCTGAGATAAGAAAATACGAAAATGAGATTTATAAGAAAATTGGAAAATGGAAAGGAGCACGATCACGAGCAGCAATAGGAGATAACGACAACGATAGCATGGATTCAATTCGATTCGTTCCAATCCGATATCCGATACGATTCGATATTCGATACACATTCGAAACACCCGAAACTCGAATTTGGACCACGACCTCGACGTCCACCATTCCACAATATACATATGTATACTATATAATCAGATCAATCAGATTTAGCCTCATATACCTTGGTCGGGGGCCGTGCACATACAGGCACAGCATCCGCGGCAGCAGAGCCGGGAGACCCACCTGGCCAGCGGATTGGGACGCTTGATCTTGGCCTCTGCTCACGTGGGCTCGTCGTCGCTCAGAAGCTCTATGGGATTGGATAGGGGGCGATACGAACGATACGGGATGAGGGGCGTGCGATCATGAATGGGGGATTTATATTTTTTATATAGTATATGTAAGTGATTAAGTAAGTGATGGTGTAATTGGTTGAGTAAGTGATTGAGTAAGTGGTTCATATTTTATATATTTTATAAAGCTTAAAATCTGGTTATGATAACTTCCATTAGCTTGTTTTAGAAAGCATTTGACTTTATTTTTTTAATATTTAAAATCTCATTTATGGTTTTTAGCTGTTAATTTGCTTGGTTTTTCTTTAAGTTACTGTCAATGAAAATGTGTGAAAATGTTTTGTGACTTGCTAATGATTCCCTAACAAGTTGATAGTACCAAGAACCTTAATGATAACCTCCTCTTTATCAGCCATTTAACTGCTATTACTAAATCATAATTAAAAATAAAACCCAAGCTAAGTAACATTAAACAATACCAGCAAGTTAGTTAGAATCGGTTGGTAACTTTAATTACAGCAACTCCTCAATGTAATTCAACACAATGCCGTGGGTCTGGTCCTTTTCTTGGACAAACAATCTGCCCCCGATGCGCTGCCTCATCCTGTTCATAAATTTCTCAGTTCTCAATGGTAAGTTGCGAAACGCGCGATGAAACCCGCTGGCAATGTTGCCAGATGAAGGAAGGAAGAAAGAATGGGGCAAGTATGCTGGACCGACCAGCAGCCAACGGCTGATAGTGTGTAATTATGAAGGCACAGAGGCATTAGCAACAGGACCTGTCCACCCAAGAGTAACCCACCCGCATCCCTTGTCCTGCCCAGGATGTTCTTCTCCTGCCTTCTGCGTAGGTCGCCCTAGGCAACCGCAGTTGGGCTTTGCATGCTACATCCAACAATTGCACGATGTGCCTGGAGACTGAGGCGTTGGCCCAGGGATTGGAATCTTTTCGGTATGGGAGATAGGTAGGATGAGTCTCGTCTTGGCTGCCGGCGATGGCCAAAGTCGCACAGTTTCATTAAACAGGATATTGCATGGCATGGCATAGGGTGTATTCCCACCAAAAATATATATATGTATAAGAATATATAGAATCAGGAACATATTTCGTTTTGGCCGCTGGCGCCTTGGAGAGACTAAAATAATATCAACAGAATCTCAATCTGGATCTGAATCTGATTGTCAATCTGAGTCCAAATCTGAATCCCAGCCGAAGGCTTTTGTCCCGTGGAAGTATTTAATATTGATTTTGTTCTACCCTAGCTGATACACTTTATATATCTATATATACTTTTTTGATCGGATTATAAGGTTTTATCCTTTAAAAGACATGGAGTTAAAGGTTTATTAAAAAAATAACTTAATAAGCTGAAAACTAAGCCTATTTCTCCGCTATTTATACATCAATTTCTTACTTTAACTTCTTAAATTGAATTTTCTAGGGTATAAATAACTGTACTTGCTAAAAAACAACTTCCTTTCCCGGTTTTTATTAAGTTGGGCCATCCACTTGCCGAACAGCCAACAGCCACCCTCTTGAAAAACAAAAACGAAAAACCAGAAAACTGAAAATCAAAAATAAAATCCGAATGAATCGCGTTACGAAAATCAATCACAAAAATCCCCCTTTGCTGACGTCAGCGATTGATTGAAGGGGGCGTGTCCGTTGGCATTGGATAGATTGTTATATATATATATATGTATATATATTTATATATAATTGTGCTGTGGAAATCGAGTTGATTGTTACAGTCAAAGTCGCCACTGGATTCAGTTGGTGACGATGTCTGGATCTTTGATGGCGAGATTGAATGGCTTTGATTTGAGGGATGACCAAGTCAGTGAGTTGATGGTCAGGTGTGTCAGGTGGTCTATGGTGGATGCCAACAGTGTGTGGGTGAGTGCTTGAGGTGAAAGCCAGATGTCTGTCTGTGACCCAGTCCTAAGGCATTCCCACTCCAGAGTCCCAGTCCCAATGTCTATTTTGGGTTACTAGCCTGCAGCTTTAAGTTGAGACTGTTTGGGCTATTTGTATTCTGCTTTGACTACTCACCTACTAACTTAGTTACTTGTTAAATCTAACACAAATCTTGGTCAAACTAATGCTCTTTTTGTGTAAGACCTAAGGGTAAACCCCTTAAAAGTGTTTTTAGATGTGAATTTAAAGTAGTTTCTGTATTAAACTCTCATTTTCTGCTTTATAAATTAACTAAAAAATGAAGTAACTTGCAAGTTATTAAAGCTGTTTCTACTAGAATGGTTACCCCTATAAGTTAGTACCTCTAACTAGCTAGTTAGACCCTTCCCCTAGATATCCCTGCACCCTAACTATCTTTGTGTTTCCCATTTCCCCTTCTTAAATAACCCTAACTTTGTATTCCAGAATTCCAGGACTTACCAATGAAGCAACGAACATCATAGCTGGTCCCAATCGGTGCTCCGTAGTAGCGTTTGGCCGGTACCAGCTGGACACTGGGCGGGGCATAGGACGATAGCGATAGGGTGAAGGGATGGGCCCCGTCGCCCAGGCGCTTCATGAGGGCCTCCTGGAAAATAGGGGGGGAAAAACTGAAGCTTAGCATTTCGATTGAAGTTGAAACTCGATACGGAATCGGAATAATTGCTTCCGTTTCCCCATGCCCAAAGATTGTAATGTGTTTATTTATTTATCATTTTCGGTTTTTCTTTTTGGTTGGAAAGGGGGAAGGAGAGGGGGTGTTGGGAAAGTTGGGAAAGCGAAAAGAAAATCCATGGCTGTGATTTTTGTATGATTGTACTTTTGTTTTTCTCTCTTTTTGTGTTTGTGTTAGCCAGCATTTCATTTGCATTTGATTATGCATATCTATAATTATGTATATAGATTAGGGTGGACCTTAGTAAGGGAATAATATGGATATTCGACTGATGACATTCTCAAATTTTAAGTTAAATTTTCATTAGTTAAGAGTTAACCAAGTTTTTTAATAAATGTTCCATATTTTACTGGTCCACCCTAATGTATATTATACATAAAAACATATTTATATCAAGGTCTAATCGTTGGCGCGTGTATCCTCAGGTTGCCCAGGACAACGAAAGCCGTGTCCTTCAGGCACTCGTTGTCCTGGCTTTTTCGCAGAACAACCAAGCCGCAAAGTGGTTTATCTTCTCGAATGCAAGTGCCTCTTTGAGGCACATACTCCTCTGCTGTACTCCAAATCCTGCTTTAAGAATCAAATTTAAAGGCTGTATTTAAAATCTATTTCAGATTCTCATTCAGATCTCTCTTCTATATGGCGACTAATCCCATTGATTTATAGTCAATCGTTTTGCAAATCTATCAAAGCCTGGCTCTGGCCAGTTACCGCAAGCATTTGTCTTTACTACACTGAGAAAATCAATAAGAACTTTGTAGTACTAAGAAAATGTTAAGTTTTATAAGAAAGTATAACACAAAAAATGACTTTAAGTGGGTAAGTTTAGTAGTTTTTTAAGGGATTTTTTATGACAAAATCTTTAAAATAATATTTTGTTTAGAAAATTATACAAAATATTTCTTTCAGTGTACTCCTTTCCCTCTATACTTTCCCAATTTCTTTCCACCTTTTTCTCATCTGTTTGCTGAGGCCTATTTTTGGCCAGCTTTCCTTTATCTTTGCCGGCTCTTGTCGTTCGGCAAGTTATTAAAATCAAATTTATTTAATTATGCGTGTGCCTCTGTGTGTGTTTGTGTGAGTCAGTCCCTATATCTCTCTCTCTGTGTGTATATCTAAGGACCCTAAAGGAATACGGTTGCCCGGCGAGTCCATTATGATGAGTAAGTCGAGCGAGTGAACCCATTGGCTAACCGAATTGGTTTTCTCCTTCGAAGGAAGCTTGGCATGCCATAAGAAATAAATTATTCCTTGTCAAATTTAATAAAAATGCGAAAAGTTGAATTTGAAAGTTTTCGGTCAGCTTTGGGTACGAAAAAAAAACAAGAAACCAAGCCGCGCAAGGACCTAAAACAATGCAGAAAGATTTTTGCGGAGAAACAAGAACGGCAAACATTTGTTTGGCTTTTAGTTAAATGAAATTGATTTTCAATTGGTTTAAGTGCACCGAACCGCCGGCAGGCAGGTGGCTCTCTCTCACTCTCTCTTGCACCCATCATTTCCCATACATTATACACACACACACACACACACACACCGCTATACATATATGTAAGCTGTGTATATACACAAGTACACATATCCAAGGGCGCACGTGAGATGTCAGCATGCGGACGGATGGACCCGGACTTCAACGTGCTGCTCATAAAAATCCAAAAAGGGCCAAAGGACACAGAAGGCACAGAGTGTGGGGTAAAGAGGCTACTTCAAGTTGAAACGAAATCGTTGAAACAGTTCGTCAGGAAGACAGTTAAACATTAACATTCACCCAAAATGCAAAGATGTATAAAAATAAAGCTTATTTATATTTTATGACCACGAGACTGAAATAAACATCAGAAATCCCTTTTGGGCAGGACCAAGGAATAACAACGATTAATCAAGATTAATTTTGATGTTCGAGTACTTCCTTGAAGTAGCTTTAAATAGGTTATAAAATCTATCTTTAAGGTGGGTAAATTCATTTATCTAGTTGCCAGGGAATGTTGCTTCGATTGGCTTTCTAAGCGGTTTTAGTCTGAAGTTGCTTCTACAAAGCTCTTAAAAGTTTGATTTAACCAACTTTACAATATCAATTTCTATAATTTTATTTCAGTTTTTAAGCCATTTTGATTCTCTAAGAACTTACTAATTGTTTTAGCAAAAACCTAAGCTGATCCCTCCATCTATCTCTGTTAAGATTTCTCTCAAAAACCTTGACTGGCCAGAAAATCCAAGCAAAGCCCCGCTGAAATTCCAACCTCTCCCCAAGGGGGCCACGCGTATTGAAGGTGCCAAATGATGGCGTTGCAAGTCTCTGCAAATTGTCCAATTATTTATGGTATTTTGCTGCAAGCCAAAGACTTCCCCTAGTGGATTGATGAGACTGATTCGACGAGGCGGAGAGACTGCAGCGTCATCAATTGTTAATGCCAAAGTTGGACAGATGGCCCACCACCACCACCCCACCAACTGTCAGCCATGGGCTCATCATATAGCTTATAGTCGCGAAGTAGAGGACTTTCTACCCCTCAACCCTCAACCATGGATAGTTTCAATTTCTTTGATTACCTGCAGCGGACTGAGCGACTCCGGTGTGGGCTCTTCCAATCTTGGCCAGATCTGATGAAGCGACATGATGGCCTCATTGCAGAAACGCAGACCCATCACCTCCTCGTCCTCGCGACCATAACTGAAATCGAGAAAGAATATTTGTTAGTGGCGAGAATAACCAGAAAATTCAATTTGGCCGAGCCAAAAAAACCCACCGGAATGTCAGTGTCAGCTGGGCGTATACGCGATATCCCTGTATGGCCTTTGGATCCACATAGACGATGCCCCGCAGGACGGACGGATTGTTACCGGTGAGTGTTATCTCGCGAGTGGGCAGATATAAAGTTAGCACGCAATTCGGCGAGGTCTTCTTGTAGACGCGCTGAGTGCCAAACTCGTCCCGATGAGTGGATCTGGACAATAGGGAAGGGGATTTTAGGATTAGAATTAGGATTAGATGAAGCTCTTTAAGTCTTTGAATCAAAATAATTGTTAAAAAAGAGGTTAAATATTAGCGAGAAAGTAAGGCAAACACTCGAACTTCTATTCCTCAAAAACTACAAAAGCCAAAAAAACAGTTTTCTGGAATTTCTAATAATTTTCCATTAAACAAATATTTTTATTAAATATTTGAAATATTTTATGTTATAAGGGGATGCCAGAAAAACACTACAAAAGTTTAACTTTTTCAGATATAAATATTAACTAAATAAAAACAAAATCTTTTTAAGAACTTTCAAGGCAAAACTTACTTTTAGAGTTATAGAAATTCGAATGTGTTTGGTTAGTAATGAAGTCCAAATCTAAGCCAATTTGTTAGTAAATTTCATAAATTTTAACAACTACAAACTGAAGGTAATACTAAATAAGGCTTTATGACTGATAGTTACTGATTAAGTGCTGCGATTTGCATTAACTATTTTGGTTATCATGAAACGTGTTAGCGTGAGTTTGGTGAGAATGAAATGTGGTTAAAAAAATGTTAAATGCATTAATTCAGACCCTAACTAACTCCTCTGCTAGCTTAATTACTTATAAATATTCATAATACTAATGAGAAATACTCTTTAATATTCATTAATTACTAGCCAATCATCTTAAACTACGTTTACTTAGTTCTCTCACTAGTTAGTTAGATTAGGAATGCAATTATTTTGATGGGACACCGAATTGCTCGAATTACCAGCTTGGGCTGCATTAATCATTGATGCACCAAGAAGCTGATATTTGTGGCAGGCATGACCGCAACTTGCTGCATTCCACACTCAAACACACTCAAACACACACACACACACACAGACACCGACCGGTCAGTAATAGGTTCAGAAATTTAATTTCCTTTCCGCAGGGCTTTGTGGCAGAAATTAGAATGCAGTCAATTTGGCAAATTATCGCTACCTCTGCCAAGGCAAGTCCTGTCCAGTTTTCAGCTCACCCTTTTCAGCTTCATCGCCCTTCTCAAACCAACGCTTTGCCCACATTTTCCTGGTCACATTTTCCGTGCAAATTTTGGCCTGGGACGACAATCAAGTTGTCACCTGGCCGCAAGTTAGACCGAGCTGGCTGAAACTGCGGTTTTGCAACATTTTAGCCAGCCACCCACACGCGTTCGACCTTTTTGGGGGCAACGACGAAAAAACACTCAGCGAAAAAGCTTTACTTTTAGTGGTTTTAAGTTAAAATTATGTATTTGATATATAATATATTTTTATGCTTTTATAAAATAAAATAATATTTTTGCATTTTTAAAATAAAACTTTGTTTTGATTTTTTTAATTTCACTGAAAAGGCTTTCACTTTTTTCCCACAATATTATCCCTGCCTTGGAAAGCTCATAAATTTGATATTAAATTATTTATTTTTATCATTGCTAAAATATATTTAAGTAAGGAATATAAATTTGAAGTAACCCAAAACTTTGCTGTTTTCATTTTTGATAAAAAAAAAGCTACTAAATCCCTTTCTCCCTATTTTCCTAAGATATTAAATTACCATTAAAATATATTTTTTGAATGACTTTTTGTACTTCCACTTTTTACCTTTTGCAACTGCTAAGCCATATTTAATATTCAAACTTTTTTTATGCTTTTTTAAAGTAATATAAAACTTTGATAAAAAATATTTGAAAAAAAATAAAAGAAAACTTTGAATTTTCTGTAATGAAACCTGAACTTTCATAGCATAAAAAATCTTTTTTCTACTGATTTTTTTTACTTTGAATTTAAGCTATTTTTGTGCTGCTCAAAGAGCCAAAGCTATTTATAATGAATTTATTTTTAAGGGAATATATTATTATTTAAAAAAAAATAAATTTAATTTTAGATTTTCAGGCACATTAAGAAAGATGCTAAACAGGTTTTCTAGTTCTTGGAAAATGTTTTAAAATTAGTTGTCTTTTAGTAATTTATTTACTGCCCAAAAAGCAGGAAGTTCATAGAGGATTCAACTTAATTTTGTATTATTTTTTAAACCAAAATTAAATTGATAAAAAATCTAACACAAACTTGTAAGTTCTTTGGTTAAAGATTTCCCTTTTAATTTTCCCCAAGTGCACTTTCTGGCTGGCTGGCAGTGACAGGTGGGCAATTAGTAGTAGCTGCACCTGCAATCAGCGGACCAGCTTTCCAGTGTTACCATTTCCATTTCCATTTCCATTCCAATTCTCATTCACATCTCTCCTCTTCCTATACCCTCTCTCCTCCAGCATTTCCAATCCCAGCTGCTGTTTTGGGACTCCTCAGTTCCCGGCTTAGCAACCGAATGCTTGACCAGAAAATATGCAATTAAAATTCCTGCCGTGCGAAATAAAGATACAGGCGATGGTGGAGGTCCTACCTGTCACATGCCAAATAGCCCACAGCTCTTCAGGTTAAGTGTTTTTAATTAGTTTCATTTTCATCATTTGCCTCTCAAAGCGTTGCAAATTTATTTTCGCCTCGTACCGAGTGCAACATTTTCGCCCAAAACCTTTTTAACCGAAAAATGTTTCCACAAAAAGGGAAACTTTGTGTAATTTCTGCAACAAAATAAATTCTGTGCCATTGGTCAGGAAATTTTGGCCAAATTTCCGGGGAAAAACCTTTTCAAACACACACACAAAAACCTAAGCAGGGAAATAGTTTTGCCAGTTTGGCTTTTGTTTTTCCATGCTAATTGGTACTGGGAAATTAAGTAGATCTCTGTTTTTCCATTCGTCTATTTTGGGAAATGACTGGAATTACGGAAAAATGTTTGTCTTTCAGATGGTAAATTGTCAAAATTTCGCTATTTCAGTGAGTGTTAGAAATAAATCTGTAAACTAGTAGTATCTTCTATCAAAACATCGTCTGTTTTGCCATTGAGAAACTTGCAGATATCTTTTCAAAATCTGACATTGCCCCCTGGGCGTGGTAAGAACAAGATGTGTAAAGTATTTTTGTTTTGGCTGCAACAATGGTGCCCAAGTGCCGGGCTATATGAGCTGACTTGAAAGACCGCATTTTCTTCATCTTAGCACATAGTTAAAATTTAATGAGGAAACGAGTTTCCTAAGGTTCTCCTTAGTGCCAGGGAGTGCTGGCAAAGGGGGGCGAGGGCGGTGAAAAGTTTCAGTTTACAGGGCCTTGCGGCTTTTCGCAGCTTTTGCCGCCGCTGCAGCAGATTCAGATTTTCGCGGGTTTCAAAAGCCAAAATAATTCAAAAATTCCCACGAACGAATTTCCGTGAGATTTTGTGGGGTGTAAGGATGGGAAGGAACGCCTGATTAAAACTGCAATCCGAGATGCCGAGATGTGCAGCAGCAGGAAAAACAATTTCTATTTTCGCATAATGGGCTTCGTCTGGCGCATAGCAAGCCATTGCCATGGCCATAATAACGGCTGCCAAAACCCAAAATACATTATGAATGTGTAAGCAGAAGTCTTAATTAAATTTAATTTTGTCCATTGAGTTCGAGAACTTTCTGTTCGAGGCTACAAGGGTGGCCCCTTATAGTTGCAAAAAGTTCTTCAACTCGATATTGGGTTTCCCTCTTTTTTTTCAATTTTTTGCAGAATTATCTCTCGGCTTGGAGTGGGATTTCGTATGGAATTACTGTGAGAATTTCCACTGGAACTGGAATGGAAAAATAAGCATTTTGAAAGGCGGACAACGGCTTTTCCTGGCAAAATGCAGTTTTCTAAGAAAGGTATTTCTTTTTTATAGGGAAAATTGGAAAACCTTTCTGTTGGGGCTTTCATTAAAAATGAATTTGTGTAAAAAAATAAATATTTCCTTGAATTTTTAAGTATTTTTAATGCTTAAAAATCTGTATTCAATTATTTTTATCATGAAAATATTTGCTTTCTCTGTTAGCCTTGACTATCTTTGGGTCTTAACTGCAAATTAAATTGGCAAAAAGGTAATAAAATCACGAAGAGAAAAGACAACACATAAGGTGGTCCACGAAAGATTTGCGTTTTAAAATCGCTATGAAAATGTCAACATTTCCCAACTTAAACTTAACCATTTCGTAAACTGCAAACCTTCTACTAAATATCTGACACATTGACAAAGAAATTCGAAATGTCAAATCAAAAATTATCGACAGTTCAAAAAGCAAACGCTACATGGGCCACCCTGTATAACTTAATATTATTTAAATCAAAACTGCCTTGCTTGGAACATAAACTAACTGTGATTTTTCCGATTAAGTTTGCCTTTAAAAAATTAAATATATTTTTAATAAATTTATCTGCCTCTCAATTTCCATTTTCCAGCTTAAAAAAACGGAATTTAAGCCAGATTAGTGCCTTGCTTGATTTTGTTTTTAAAATAATAACTAAATCCGCTTTACAAATACATCAAAATCACATTAAATTAGCAACAAAGAAGCTTAAACTTTTCTATTATTTAGTTTTATGTATTAAAAACTAATCCTTTTGATACCTTCCCTCATCCTTTGAAGGTTGATTCCCTATCAAGATAGTGCAAAATGACAGCCATGAATCTCAGCTTAATGACACGAACTTGAAAACCAATCCAGAACTTGAGCAATAGCCACCCACCAATCTTGTTAAGCCGAAGCTATGACAGCGGTTGATCGATGGTGTTTGGCCAGGAGACCAGAAAACCAGGAGACCGAGATCTCACCCAGATAGTGCCACCTACCAGGACCACCTGGGACCATTGTGATGCAATTAAACGGCCCAAGGCCAATGTCAATGGCAATGCCAATGTCGATGTTGTTGCATCAAGGATAATGCAGGATGCAGGTTGCACAATGCTGGATGCTGGATGCGGGAAATCAAATCGGATTCGCAATGGGTAAAAAGGCAAATCGAATGAGTGCAATGTCAACAAGAGCCAAGGTCGACAGCTCTTTCTGCCCCGCTGCCCCGCTGCCCCTGCTCCTTCATCATGGTTGAGTAATTTACTGGCTGCGGTTGAGTCGCCACCGGATGCGGATGTTAATGCAGGATGCAGGTGTCCGGCAGAAGGGTAAGAGGCTGGTTCAGGAGTCCTGCATCCCTTAATTGCATTGCCGTGTAGCCAACTGACCCTGAGACCCACTGACCAGTCATTTCACTTCCTAATTGAAAACGAATGCGGCGTAGTCTCTCCTCTCCTTTCTCCCCGTCGCTAATTCGATTTATACACTTGTCAGTCCCGCCAAGTGGATCGAATCCCGCCTCAAATACATTATTATTCCAGCCGCTATTCATCAGTTGCTGCCACTGCTGCTGGTTAGTAATTAATTCATTTGGCCCATGTCCCCGTGATTGATGGGCGGTTAGCCGCAGTGGAAGTGTCAAATGCCAAAACGGAGAGGCATTTCAGCGAGCTCAAATACCCGAACATGCACCTTTCTTTGCAATTATTCAGGCGAATCTCGATTGGCGGGGGCAAGTTAATTAGAGGTTGATGGTTAACGGTTATATTAAACTAAATGCTTGGGTGGTAATTGGGGGGGTGGAAGTGATGGCTTTGGAATAGATAATCTAATGAATAAATGGAAAGAGTTATGTAATTAGCTTGGAGTTACATTAAATTCCCTTTAAGTTTTGTCTTTTAATTTGGAATATTTACCAAAATTAAGTTCGATTTAGTTTTAGTTTAGTTTTAATATTGTTAAAATTCAATCAAATAAGCAAAAAGTTAAATTTTTAAGCATTTTATTGAGTATTTTCATGCTAGAAGTCCATATTAAGTATACGTAAGCAACTATTTATTTATGTAAAATATTATTAAGCAAGTTTATAATTTAAGAAATAAACAAAAAACTATCTAAAACTTCAAACAAGCTTAATCTTTATTAATATTTAGGAAAACATCATAGGACAGTAGCTCTTTTTTGGTTCTAAAACTAAAAGGTAAGGCAACATTCCTGCAAATTTCTTCACATCTGCCCTTTAAAGTTCCCTCGCAAACCTTCCCACTAAATAGATCTAATTAGAACACCCCTTAAAACACCAATTAAATCATTTACTACTCATTACTACCCCTGAAATTCTGTATAATCCCCCTGCTCCTAACCCAAACACCATAATTACTTAATTTCCACTAAAATCGAAATAGAATTTGGCTAAAGATAAGTCAGCTGGGCCTGTTACTTAATCCACTTACAAGTACAGAGAGAAATGCTAATCCCAAATCTAACATCGCGACAAAGGTAGGTGGCGTGCTCAAGTATCGAGTGCTGGGTATCGAGTACATTGGATATTTATGTAGTTGCCACCTCAGATACCCAAATCTACTTTGATTTTCCAGGGCCAGCGTATTGTTTTATTGATATTAAGTGCGTATTGTGGAGGTCTGGCTGACGTGATTTGAGGAGGGTCTCGACCATTCACTCTTGCAGTTAGGAAAGTGAGTGGAGTCCTTGAGAGGAACAAGCCTTGGGGTTCTCCCAAAAGAGGGGTAGGGATATTGGTCTTTGGTATTTAAAAAATTTAATCATTTAACATGCCTAGCACAGCTTGGATTTTTGTGATGACAATAACAGCGACTCTGATTTCTACACGGAGAGAAAATGAAGGTACTTAGGAGGTAATTTAAGAGTTAATAGTTAATAGAGGTGAAAATCGATAAAAACCTTTAAGTAACTTATTCATTAAGGCATAACTTATTGTTTCATAAACTTAGTTTTGATTTTTTTAAATTTCAATGCGAAGTTTTCCAATCATTTTTGCCAATTTTTGACTTACAAATATCAAATTATTCTATTTTTTAGTCTTCTTTTTCCTTAATAAACCTTTTATCAGTATAATAAAACTTAATTTAAACTGATTTTAATGTTATAGAGATACAGATTCCCTAATTAAGTAAGTTTAGAGTAAGAACAGAGCTCTACTTTCAGGATTTTTAGACCCTCTCAAAGATCTTTCTAGTCACTTTTTAGTAACATTTTCTCTCAGTGACTGTCCATCCATATACTCCGCTTTAACATCCACTTGCCAGCTGAATATTTTGCTTGCTGTTTTTATTATTTTGTTTTTGTTCTCCATTTATTATGCTGGTCCTTGCTGTTTAGAGGGACATTAAGTATGCGCCCGAGTGGCGCAGGCAGCATCTGCAGCATCTGCTCTTCGTATTTGGTTCTGTTACTCTGTATAGATATTGTGTGTTTGTGTGTTCTGTTTAGAGAGAGAGAGAGAGAGAAGAACCCCTAAGATCAACTACCTGTGCGGCGAAGGGAACTCCTCGCCGGTCTCCAAGTCCAGGAGCAGCTCCTCGCTGTGGAAGCTAACAGAGCGACGCAAACTGTCGTAGCCGGCCGAAGTCACCTCCAGCTGTGAGCTGCTAAGATTTGGACTGCCCAGCGATGAGGATATTGATGATGATGGGTGATTCGGTATTTGATTTTGTGGCGGCGCCATCACCGGTGTCGAGAGTTTCGAAGAGCTTGAGCTCAGGCCACCCAGTGGCAGGAGGTCCATTAACTGTGTGAATCGTCGGCCCTGGCGCTTGTGGTTGGTGTTAATGTGGATGACGATGTTGGTGATGCTGCTACTGTTGTTGCTACTGCTGTTTGGGCTTTCAGTTGGCCAAATAAAATATCATCATCATCATCATTATCATTAACAGAAGCAACAGCCGGACAGAGATGGAGATGAAGAAATTACAGAAAGTTTTTGGTTTTAACACGTGTGCGGCTGGCTATGTTTGTACGTGGCCGAAATGGGTAAATATATATATATAGGGTTTAAAATATGTATATAATATATATATATATTTATGTACATATTCCACCTGCTTGGCTGTGTTTGTCTCAGTGTATTTGATTTCATTTGATTTCGTTTTTAAGACCCCTTCGAGTTGTTTTTTATTGCCGCCAAACAGAGGCGTCATATTTAGTGTTTTTTAGTATTATACATATATAAATATATAGAGAGAGATTTATCTGTTTGCTTTCTTTGTTTGTTGTTTATTTGTTTGTTTACTCTTCTGCCCCGCCCCCCCCTGCATGTCCTTGTCTATGCGTGTGTGTGTGATTTTTGTGGCATTTCGGTTTTTACGAGCTTTTATTTTAATGCGTCATAAAATGAAAAGTTTTTCGCTCTTTTCGCATGTCTGCCTTTGTACACAAAATGTTAAATGCTGTTTTTTATTTCATTTCGTTTTCGTTTTTGTTTTTGTTTCTTTTTTTTTTTACATATTTGCAGAGTTTGGTAGCTTTTTTGGGTTAATCTGTGGGGGGGTGGAGACATGCGAGGGTGATCAGGAGAAGGGGTAGCTATGATCTGCACTTTGAGTTCCTTTGCGCTTAATTAGGCAAAGTATAAAGTTGGGATTACGGGGCGTATGAGTTATTTGCATATACACTTTATACATTCAACTTGAGAGGGATATAAACTTTAAACTTTCCATAACTGATATACTGACCATGTAAGTTAAGCTGATTAATCAGCGGTTATCGCTTGTACATTTTTCATATATTTAATTTGATTACCCAAAAGCCTTTGTCTGGCCAATCAAACACAATTTTAATTTCGTTTCCGCTTTCAAAATGAACCTATTGTTCGCGTTATTAACAAACCATATTTAATACGGATATTTACACATGAGGTCAATAAAATGGCACGTTTATTTGTGGTTACCATTTCCCCCTTACATTTTTTTTCGATTTAATTTTAATTTTAATATTCCAACTGATTCGTCAAACGAGGCGATTGCGCTTTATTTTATGTCAAGGAATATTTACTCGGCAGTGTCAATAAACTTAATTTATTTCCCATCCGCCAATGCCCTTTGGCCTTCAATTTATTGCTATTTTCACACACAAAAAATAAGAAATATTCAAATTAAAAAAGTTACAAAAAAGCAAAGTTAAGTTTATTAATAATAAAGAAAAATTGACAATAAATGTGAATTATTAAATTACTTTATGTTTAAGGGTCTCTCAAGCTCAAAGGCTCAACCCACGAATGTTTGGGAAGTTTTCCGGAATTTTCTTTGGGTTTCTTATGACGAGATTTATGTGCGTTTCCGGTAGGTAATTCCCTGTGAGTATGTGTGTGTGTGTGTGTGCGGGGGATATTATTTTTATTGTAATTTAATGAGTTCTGAGCCTAGGGCAGAAATTGCTTGGGTGGTGGCTTACGAGGCAGGATGTGAAGCTTCTTCGTGTGTGTGGAAAAAACCCATCATCAGCAGCAGCTGAGACAGCTTACCGTCTTCCAGCCTTAATCACTCAGCTGTCTCCTCCCACTCAATCCTGACCTAACCTGACCAACAACGCCCACTCGGTTATGTTGTTTTCTCTACGAAAAAAAAGCGATTTTGTTTGCCTTATGAATTCCAAATAACTGAATATGAATTTTCAGAAATAACACGAAAATTCCACTTAATTTCCATCAATAATTCTCACTTAAACACGATAAGTTGGCTTTTTATCTATGAACAAAAGGTTTCACGGCAAACGCAATTACCTTAATTTGTTTACCACAATGCAGGGTAAACAATTTGTCAATGTACTTACACCCAGGCCTCTGGCACTCTCATTCAAAGTTCGGTAATGAGGTTAAAGTAGAGTTTATTTTATTATTTCAGCTTGTCAAGGGTTAAAGGTGGTTGGAAAGTTGAATCTATATAATAACTGATAGATAAAACACACTCTTTATAGTTTCTTAACCTCAAAACTGTCTTCTCCCTTAAATACTTTGATCATAAAGCAACAGACTTCATTAACGAATAAGAATCTAAGACATATACATTCCTATGTAGGCATTCAAGTCAAGGCTCTGAGTGAAAAGAAAGCACCTGTATGTAGAAATAAAAGTAAGAAGGTAAGGTGAGTTCTCGTGCATGTAAATCAATAAGCTATCAATTACTTGGCCAGAGTAAATATTGATGTGAACCTAAACGAGTGTGTTTCGTTCGACGCGTGTCCCTGTGTGCGACACTCTGTTTATTAATAACTCAAAAATGCCAGCCGCCTCTGCTGCTGCTGCTGCCGCCTCGCAAAATGGAACAAACTTGTTAGCCAAGCTGAAAGACTTCGGGCCGCAAAGCGAATTTCCTGGTAATGGAGTCCGATTCTATTCTACACATACATATACATTTACATATACGCACTCATTAAATGGCAATTTATGCGTTCGGGGCGCTCTCATGTATATTTAACGACAGTTGCCTGTTTATGCCCAAAAAACGAGAAGACCAAACAGCCAAAATGAAACTGTGAAAAGTGAAAGTTTCTCGAGCACTTGAACTGCAATATCAACTTATTGATTTCCTTTGCGAAGTCCAAACTCTAAACCAAAATCCATTCCATTGGCTAACAACAGGTTGTCTGTCTGCCAAAAAACAAAAAAAACTTAAAAACACTTGACTTAATCACTTTCAAAGATAACTTTATAATTACTTTAAGAAGTTTTCATATCTGCTTAAAGCATTAAAACAATTTCGTGGCTTGGCTTCTATAAACTTAGTTCATTTGCAAGTTCAACTTGTTAAGTTTTCTAAAGAAAATGTCTAAGGAAAGGTAAATGCCGGAGTTAATCAAACAAATTTAAGATATTTATGTGAAGGGAAAAGTATATTTAACTGATTATATGGAAAAAGAAATAAACTATGAGAACTTAAACTGATTTGGAACGTCCAATTCGCATAGAGATTGAAGTGCTGAGCCCGCATAAGTAGGCTATGAATTGTGTCCTGCCAAAATCGAAGAAGACAAAAAGAAGAAAAGGTAAATGCCGGAGTTTATCATACAAATTGAAGATATTTTTTTTACAAAAAGTTAGATCTAAACTGTTTACACTATAATTATATAGAAAACTAACCGATTTTCCATATAAACTATAAGAACTTAACCTGATTTGGGACTCCCAATTCCCATACAGAGTGGTGTGCTGAGCCCGCATAAGTAGACTGTGAACTTCGGTTTGGGCCTATTCCAATTCCCTTACTGATTGGAGTATCTAGCCCGCATAAGTAGGCTATGAATCTCACCCTGACAGAGTCCAAGAAGGTAGAAGGTAGAAAAGGTAAATGCAGGGGCTTATCAATCCAGTTCATCATATTTCCTACGAAAGAAAGGTGTGAACTAATCCTTAAACTCTAATTAGACAGAGAACTAACTAATTTTCCACATAAACTATAAGAACTTAAACTGATTTGGGACCAGCAAATTCCCATGCTGAGTAGAGTGTCGGGCCCGCATAAGTAGGCTATGAACTTCGGCCTGCCAAAGTCGAATGTTTCCGGTTTTAATTATGTTGGTATGCCCAGAGGCCAAGAAACGGTGCTGCTCCACTTTCGGAAACTTTTTCCCCTCAGCCTGGAAAAACAAATGCCACCGAACCGAGCTGAGCAAAGGATGCGCGGCAGAGTGTGGGAGAGACGACTTGTAAGGAGCAGTTCCAGTCAAATTAGCAAACATTTTGGAAAATATTTACGCTCAAAGTCTTCTCCTCCGTCAATTGGCCAAGCCCAGCGATCAAATGAGCCGCAGCTGTGTACACAGGATTGTCTATATATATATGTGAGTATAAATGTGTGTGTGTGTGTACAGGATGTCACATCCTGTTTGTGTATGTGTGTGTGTGTGTGTGTGTGAGAGAGTGCCTTAAGGCATTTCGGTTAGAAGTTGGAAGTTTGCCGTGGCCAACTTCTTCGCAAAATGGAGGGCAGTGTGACGGCGAGGGAGCGGTGCTGTGTGCCAACCAACAACTTAGAAACAGCTTTGAAAAACGACAAAGTTGACTGACTGCTCTGTGTTGTGGTTTGCAATTAGACTTTCCCTCAGCTTGGTTACATTTCAATTCACGAAACACAAAAAGGCAGGGAATGGAAAACCAGAAGAAAAGACGAGCTGCTACCTGGCCTACACTTTAGTATCTTTTTCTCCTCCCTCAGCTAATGTAATCCAAAGCTTTCCTTTTTTGATGAGTCTTTAAATTAAAGAGATTTATCTGATATTAACTAACAAACTTTAATAAACAGCCTGAAAATGGAGGAAAAAACTGAAATTTAAATGCAGCAAAAAAAGAAAACAATGAATAAATTAGAAACAGTTGCCATTTCGCCTTGTCAACGACTGCTAAACCGCAAAGCCATATAATTGCCGCTGGTTAATCAACCAATGTATATCAATAAAAAACCAAAAAAAACAAAACAAATAACAAACTCAATCTGTGGCACAATGGGCCATAAAGAGGTTGCCACAAAAATGGGAAATGAACTCGTGTTCAATATTGATATTCACGATGACATGAAAATGATATGATGCCAGCCCAATTTGCACTTCAGTTTCGCAGCTGACCCGGCGATTGTCACGCATCAAATGCAGCGGCACGTGTCCCTAGCCACGCCTACTAACGCCCAACCACGCCTTTCTGCCACCCCTGCTACAGCTTAGCAAACGCTTAGCCAAGAGCAAAGTGTAACAAAATCTGTGTGCGGCAGCAACATCAAGTAGCCGCCACCGCGCGCCCTCACATTTTCCCTTTTTATTTAGCTGTTTTTTTTTTTATTTGGTGTTGCCTATTTTCCTCCTCTTTTCGTTTCCGCTTCTGCCCGGCATGTTCGTG